TTTTTTTTTTTCTTCTTTCTAAGGGAAGTTGCAATAGGTTGCTGCTAGAGTAATTGTCAATGCTGCTTACTTTGGTTTATCTCTGACAGCTCCTATAATGCAGGTAGTGCAGATATCTGTTTTAATCAATGATGCCTGCCGAGAAGAGGAAAAGGTGTGTCCTCTTAAAGCAGCAGTTTCTTCCTTGCTAATCACCTCCAAGGTGTTTCAGTGTCTAGCATGTAATTCTGGTGGAGCACACTTGGTGTGACAGAGGTGAGCAGAACACTTTTCATTCATGGCAGTAACTCTGCTTTTGTTAGTGCTTCTGGGGCAGCTGAGGAAAGCTGAACGTATGGACAGGAAATGCTAGGCTTTGTTGTCYCTTTGAGCAGCCAAGAAGGGGAGAGAAGGAGAGGGCAGTCCTGTCCCAGCAGACTGCAGCAAACTAACAGATGGCAGGGAAAGAGAAGAAGCTAATATACGTGGAGTAGCAGGAAGAGAAAATAGCTGCAGTGTGTCATTTTACCATGGTACGGTAGGATGCTGTGTTAGTCCATGGTGAAACTTCAGGATTTTGCATTGCTGTGGCTCAGGCTTCCTAACAGAAACACTAGAGTGTTGTGGGGTGATGATTTCTTTTCTTTCCTCGGTATATCATGATAGAAGTCCTCAGCTTTTCAAGAACAAGGGTAACTAACCTGTGGGCTTTGGCTGGGTATACCTTTAAAATCTGAATCAAACAATGCAGTTGTATAGTGTCAGCAGAACAAGAGTGAACTGCACTTTCCGTGCCCAATGTTGCAAGAGTACTGTTTTGCCCTTATGATGGGTTCTTGTGTTGTTTGTTCTCATTATCTGGAGCTCTCTCACCYAGGCTCTCTAGAGAGGGGAGATTGTAGGAACAAACAGGTCCGCTTCACCAAGCTGCCCTGGACAGTTCAGGTTACAAACATTTCTCCTAGTTGTCAGAACTGAACTACTCTTAGTTCCTCCTGGGACTCTTCTCAACATTTTCATGGCTGCATTATTATCTAGCTCAATTCACGCCATGGCATTATAATTGCAAAGAAAACCTGGGTAGAATATGAAAATTATGTTGATGATTTGGAAGGGAGTTTTTTCATGTCAGTCTTAGAGCTGCTGTTCCCAGTTCCCAGGTAAGATAGCACCCTGCCATGTGAAGTATCAAGCAGCATGGTGGCCCTGTGCTGTTACTAAAGGTGTAGTAGTATTTTTAACCCTGTTCAATTGCAGCTCGGTCTTTGTGAGACAAGCTGACCAGAGCTGTGCTGGCCAAGCACATTTCAGAAACATCTGGGTGGCTGTAGGTGGTGATAGATACGATCTTGGTTTTTTTTCTGAAGCATCTGGTCAGTTACTTTGTTCTTTTGAAGTTATACATTTGACTTGCTCAGGCTACAAAATTTCCTCTTTGCATCTTTGAGCACTTACATATAGTTGTCTTCATAWTCTGAACTGTATTATTGTGGTCCTACATCTCGAAATCTATTTTTCTTCCGCAATTTTTGCCTCCATTCTTCATCTCTTTCTGTCTGGTGACTGAGAGCAATGCTTGCATTGTGATGGTGGTAGATTCATGGGGCTTAGAGGTGGCTAGAGTACTTTGCAAAATTCAGTGTGTCTTTATATTTTTGAAAAGATAATAATAGATGTATCATGGAGAGTTCTAAACTGTTTGATTACAACTTTCCTTTAATAATATAGTGGCTTTTACAGTTTGTAAAGGATGATATTAGTATCCACAGTGTTTTCTTAATCTCTACAAATTTTACCGTGAAAAGATGTTTTAATGATTTCAGTTACTGTTTCCAACTAGAGTAATAGCATATTGTGGTGACTGAGGAATGAGCTAATTTCTGTTGTGTTCCATCTATGAAGAGGAGCAAGAAAGAGGAGCTAATTTTTGTTTTTCTTGTTGGTTGTCAAGCTCTAGAAAGATTGTGGAGTCAAGAGAGACTGCTGCTACCCACTTGTGTTGCATCAGATCTCATACTATTTTTTAACATTTCTGTAGCGTGTGGCAAAGACTGCGGAGAGAAGGAAAGAGAGGAAGATTAAAATTTCAGTGAGCAATAACGTTCGGACACTTTGACATCCCAGGAGCTCTGCATTGTCATGCTGGAAGCAGCTATCTATTCCTAGACTCGGCAGCACAGGTGCTGCCCTTTGCCTGTACAGGGTGGTGGGGAGCATGAGRTAATGAGAAGGAATTAGTGCTGCACTTCTGTAGGGATCTTAAATTACACACTACAGACATTATCCTAGTGGTAAAGGACAGTATTTCATCTTTTCATTGTGCATATAGAACCTGGCATCAGTGGTGGAATGTTCATAGGGTAGTTAAAGATTCTTGTACTGATTACTACTACTATTCTATGGGCATGTGTGTTAAGCAAATGATAATTAGTGGCTTGAAAGTCAAGGTTTAGATTTTTCTCTGYCATTTGTTATGTGAATGTGCGAAGTCACTTAATTTCACTGTATTTTAGTTTATCATTTTGTAAAAGAAAATAGTATTTTCCTCTGTCACAGATGAGCAACTAGTTTTGGATTATGTGTTCATCAGTGCAACAGCAATCTGGCAGAGACATGTATTAGCTCAATTTAACAAACTGTCTTCACAGGAGTATTATAGTATTACAGCATCAGGAGTAAAGTATTTCAGTATTTACAATGTCTGTTGCCTATAYTGGTATTCGTAGCAGTCCAGTTATGGCATTGGGAAGTTCAGGTTAATGGACCACAGCACTGGGATTTGTAGGCTCTGCTGAACTCTGTGGATGTGTGGGCTTGAGCTAGCTGATTCAGGAGTGGCTTAAGTGCTTTTTACATTGCAATTACTGAAGTGATTTGTGTGTAATTTGCATCTGAAAAGGCTGTGTGCTGTTGTGATAAACAGCAGGGCAGTGAAATTGTAGTATATTGCATCACATCCTTGAAGYAGAAG